ATTCAGGGTTTGGGCTGAAGTTGTTCATTATGCTTTCAAAACATTTATTATTCTTGTTCTTTGTCCAGTTTCTTGGCAAAGTCACAAACACATTTTTATGTAAAGTATATTAGTCACACTAATAGTTTACTTGACTTTATTTTATTAAGCACTAATATCAGCCGTCTACAAATTTTCAGGAGTCCCAAAAGTAACACAAACACAAACAAAAGAAACCATCTCAAGTTTGACGCAAACCCAGTTGGTACAGCCGACCACGCCAGGACAGCCGCCCCAGATCCCTGGACTGAGAGGTCCATCAGCAGACGCGTCACAAATGGCTCAGTTTTCGCAGACGCAAATGCAAGGACAGAACCCTCTGATCAGCCTACAGCAGCCGCCGTCACCATTGGCGCCACCTCCACTTCCTCCGTCTCCATTTGGGTCCAACCCACCCGTCGAACAGAATCCTATGATGCCACAACCAGGGATTTCACCTGGCAACAATGCAGGTATGCAGGAAATTTGCAATCCTTGCCAACTTTTCTTCTGAAGACTTCATGGACCTGCACAAAAAATTACTTTGGGGGAGGATATGCTTTCATTTTTCTAAAGGAATGATTATCAGTCGTGTTACTCTTTAACATCCATGTGATGAGGAGGGAGCGTAAAAGAGATAGAAAAAAATAGCTTATAACTTCTCTGAGGTGAGAAATAAAATGTATCAATTTGGGAGGCAAATCGTTCATTCAGTATAAAATTGGCTGGATTAATAAGGCACATTTTTGTGTCATAAAAAACCTTGAGGGAACCGATCGGATTGCGCGTGTTGAGGAGTTTAAAGCCAAAGTTATCTCATTTAAAAACAGATGAGATCTTGAAGAGGAGCTTATAAATGTTCTAAGGAGAATTTATCGCCTTTCTTAAGCAGGTATGCAGCTTCCAGTCCCCCTCACAACACCGGCAGAGAAGATAGCACCATTGGTACCTCAAACTCCCGCAGAAATTCAACCAATCACAAATCAGCAGGAGACCAAGAAAACCGACATTGCGGCTGCGCAGACAGATCAAAGCCTCAAGAGTCAGATCAAGTCAGCTGCAGCTGGCCAAGCTATGAAAATGAACATCGTAAACGGAAAAATCGAATTGACTCCCGTTGGAGCATCGAATGTATCTGAAGACGCCTCTGGCAAAACTTCGGATACATCCCATTCTTCCGAGTTGAAAGACAACGAAAAAAGCGACTCGGGAAAAAAAGCCTGTGAGAAGGTGAAGGTGCATAAAAATGTAACTTTGAAGGGTGGAAAGAAAGCTGGAAAGTTTAACAATCATGGTGACGTGCAAGGAATGGATGAATGCCAGGATATATGTTGCAGGGATGAAAAGTGCAACGTTGCATTTATGCTCGGCAAGACATGTTACTCCGTAGCATGTAAAAGTAAAGAACTATGTGAACACTCAAAAGCTCCCCCAACGGATTACAATCCTCAGCTTTCTTATGTGAGACCAATGAAAAATTCGGATAAAAAAGGTAGGTTGATTTTCTCAGCTTTCGACTTCACGAGTCGTTGGGCTAGATCAACTTCTGGTATGTTAATCAGTCCGTCAGAGTATCTCCCTTCGTAGCAATTTGGCAAAAATCTGTCTTAACTCACTAAATCTATTTTTTCGAATTTCCTTCTACTAGAATCCAGTAAAGCACCCGCTATCCCGCTAGAGCCCAAAGACCTCAAATGCAAACATAGCAACATTACAAATGACAAAGATCTCCCAGGTGGAATTCACAAAAACAACTTCACAATTGTCAAAGACGTGGACACTATGGGCAAATGTATGGAAAAATGTTGCGACAGTAAGAAGTGCGATATAGCTTACATGGTGGAGAACAAATGCTATTCTGTGTCATGTTCCAGCAAGGATTTCTGTATTCCAGTCTCGGTAAAGGCCTCTAAGAAGACACCTCTGATCTCTGCGATGTTGATAAAAGCGGAGCCTAAAGAAGAAATAGGTAAAAAGGTAGAAACATAAAACTCAAATTTATCTGCCGAAAACAAGTGCGAAAATATAATACAGATGGATTAATTACCCAGAAAATTTTTCTATGGTTTCATTAATGGTTTCCTCCGGTTTTCCTCTCCAAGAGGATTTTACTTTTCCAATGGGAGTCAGTGGAATTGTCCTCGGGAATGATTTAATAAGACACTAATTTCTATCTAAAACTAAAGAATATAAAACGGTTATCAAATGTGCCATGACACCCACTCAATAACCTTTTTATATAGCTTAACGAAATCCAATATTTCAGTGAAAAGTTGGCTGGTTAACGGAGCGGGTAAGATGCCCATATCTCGCCCACAGTGGATTGCTTGATTTGTTACCGTAAAGGTTGTTCTTGTTACTTTTGTTTACTTTGTTACATGGAACGAGGAAAGGCAATCAACAACTAATGTACCTACTTCCTCAGATTTATCCGCGGTTGCTTCTTCACCAGAAGATTCTGCAACTACAGAGCTGGCCTCTAATTCTGCCACGTGCATGTTGGACAGCAGAATATCCAATGATATCAAACTTCGGCCGGGAACTAAGGCTAGTAACTTCACAGCTCTAGGTAGGGCAGATGATATCCACCGGTGCATCGGACGATGCTGCGCTCGCCCCTCGTGTGATATCGCTTATTTATTAAATGGGAAGTGTTTCGCGGTTCAATGTCTTGACGGTGTCTTATGCCAGACAAGTGCTGAGCCCGTATCAGAAGGGGCAAACGTCAAGTTGGCTTATATGAACAGAGGATCGTCCGGTCAAAAGGAAAAAGGTTAGTTCATCTCGTCTGTTTTGCATTTTCTCGTGAGCCCTAAGTTGTCAGTCCTAAATGAATGTACAAATTCCTGATACCCGATATCAATTGCCTCACCCATAATCAAGATTTCTTTAATTTCACACCATCTTCAATTTGTCAAAAAATTCCGCTCCCAGCTCAATTTGCATTGTAATTGAATTTGTACCTTACAAGTCAATTTCACAGGAAATGAATACGAAAATAATTATACTAGCTTTCCTTTACTGCTGAAAAAAAATTTAAGCCCTTCAGTTTAGGAAAAATAAGTGCATATTTCGATAATTTTAAAGTATTCTCTTGCAGACTGGATGATCGTGTACATTATAGCTGCTTCCTTAGCTTTCGTGGCCGGAATCGGCGGAGTAATATGGGCTGTGTGCATTTGCACGAAAAGGTGAGATAATGAATAGCTCCTCTGCTATTCAGGCCTGAAAAAACGTCAGTTCTCAGATCTTAAAGCTTGACAGTAACTTCACATTAAGAAATAGACTTTCAGTTCTCCTAAAAAAAAACATATTACACCTGGTGGTGAAGCACTCATACTATATTTAGAGAATAAGGTCTCGAATAAGTTTTTTTCGCTTTGTGCCTACTTGCAATTTAGTAGCTGAGAGGATAAGATTATATCATGCTTAACTCTGCAGACAAAAGCTTCGTAAACAAAGGAGAATGCTGGACGATGACGAAGATGATGAAATGCTTCCCAAACGTAAGTTTTGTCGTTTTGTCGTTAAGAAAAAAAATGGCGGAGGGGATGGTTGGGTGATGAGAAAATTTACCTAATTCTCCATCAGACTCTGTAATATTCTTATGCCTACCCCCCTCCCCCCCCTTCATTGGCAGTTAATTGGCAGTCAAACTTCTATAGCTCCTTTCGTTCCCCTTGAAAATCATGTGATCTCCCGAAAATCCTCACCTCCCCAGGCGATAAATGATTAGCGTTCCCCAATGCCATCTTATCTTAACAATTTTGCTCACCAAAATTCTTTTTGCTATTTCTTACTATTTGTTTTGTTTTGTTAGCCACACAGACACGATACAGAACCCCGATGCCAAGATACTAAACAAGGCAGGCTCCTAACTATGACAACGTACCTTGTACCCGTCACCCGATCTTTATGTCCATTTACGCGCCAACCGTCGGTAACATTCAAAAAGGAATATTTTATACTTTGCATCAACTAACGGCCCAGAAGAGACTTCAAAGCGTTTAGCAGGCTTTAGAATCGGTGGTGAATTAAGAAGCTACCGTCGAGAAGACTGGTGGTCACTTCAAATAATGATGGCATTGGTCTAACCTTTAACTTAAATGCCCTTTGGTATGCATGCAACCGCTGGTCATTAAGAGCAGCGACTTGGATCGCAAGTAGAGGAAACTAAACTTACACTCTTTAAATACGGGCTCGGTGATAACACCACCAACAAAAGAAGTTATGAACAAAAAACGTTGATGACACTTGGCGATCGCTTCCTCGTAAATTTTATTGTTTCGCGTTTTGCATGCCAAAACCTCTGTAAGTTGAAATAATAAAGGGCTGTTTTCTAGGTAAATAGCGCAACTTTACACGATTTTGTTTGTACAGCAAACATTGCGATCAGGACTACGAAGTTCCAGTTAAATTACCTTCTCTTTCCTAGATTGCTTTTTGTTCCAACGTTGAAAAAGCTCGTATTGGTGACAAAAAATG